TCAGGCGGGAGCCCCCTCCCTATGGGGCCCGCACTTCATGTTTGAATCCGAGCGGGTCATCCGCAACGTGCAACTGTCGTCACTTTTGGGCTCTGGAGATATGAATATGGAGGAACTCTCGAGCGGGAGCCTCGTCTGTGAGTGAAATGCGAGGAAGTCTCAGGCGGGGGGGCCCTCCCCATGGGGCCCTCACTTCATGTTTGAATCCGAGCGGGTCATCCGCAACGTGCAACTGTCGTCGTCACCTTTCGGCTCTTGAGACCTGAATACGGAGGAAGTCTGGAGCGGGAGCCTCGTCTGTGAGTGAATGGTGAGGAAGTCTCAGGCGGGAGCCCCGTCCCTATGGGGCACGCATTTCACGTTTGAATCCGAGCGGGTCATCCGCAACGTGCAACTGTCGTCACTTTTGGGCTCTTGAGATATGAATATGGAGGACGTCTCGAGCGGGAGCCTCGTCTGTGAGCGAATTGCAAGGCAGTCTCAGGCGGGAGCCCCCTCCCTACGGGGCCAACATTTCACGTTTGAATCCGAGCGGGTCATCCGCAACGTGCAACTGTCGTCACTTTTGGGCTTTTGGGATTTGAATATGGAAGAAGTCTCGAGCGGGAGCCTCGTCTGTGAGTGAATTGTGAGGAAGTCTCAGGCGGGAGCCCCCTCCGTATGGGGCCCGCGTTTCATGTTTGAATCCGAGCGGGTCATCCGCAACGCGCAACTGTCCTCATTTTTGTGCTCCTGAGATATGACTACGGAGGAAGTCTCGAGCGGGAGCCTCGTATGTGAGTGAATTGCGAGGAAGTCTCAGGCGGGAGCCCCCTCCCTATGGGGCTCGCACTTTATATTTGAATCCGAGCGGGTCATCCGCAACGTGCAACTGCCGTCACTTTTGGGCTCTGGAGATATGAATATGGAGGAAGTCTCGAGCGGGAGTTTCGTCTGTGAGTGAATTGTGAGGAAGTCTAAGGCGGGAGCCCCCTCCCTATGGGGCCCGCACTTGATGTTGGTACTCCGAGCGGGTCATCCGCAACGTGTAACTGTCGTCACTTTTGCGTTCCTGGGGTTTGATTACTGAGGAAGTATCAGGCGGGAGCCTCGTCTGTGAGTGGATTGCGAGGAAGTCTCAGGCGGGAGCCCCCTCCCTATGTGGCCCGCACTTCATGTTCGAATCCGAGCGGGTCATCCGAAACGTGTAACCGTCGTCACTTTTGCGCTCTCGAGGCCTGACTATGGAGGAAGTCTCGAGCGGGAGCCTCGTCTGTGAGTGAATTGCGAGGAAGTCTCAGGCGGGAGCCCCCTCCCTATGGGGCCAGCGCTTCATGTTCGAATCCGAGCGGGTCATCCGAAACGTCTAACTGTCTTCATTTTTGGGTTCTTGAGGCCTGAATATGGAGGAAGTATCAGGCGGGAGCCTCGTCTGTGAGTGAATGCGAGGAAGTCTCAGGCGGGAGCCCCCTCCCTATGGGGCCCGCACTTCATGTTTGAATCCGAGCGGGTCATCCGCAACGTGCAACTGTCGTCACTTTTGGGCTCTTGAGACCTGAATATGGAGGAAGTCTCGAGCGGGAGCCTCGTCTGTGAGCGAATTGCAAGGCAGTCTCAGGCGGGAGCCCCCTCCCTATGGGGCCCCCATTTCACGTTTGAATCCGAGCGTGTCATCCGCAACGTGCAATTGTCGTCACTTTTGGGCTCTTGAGATATGAATATGGGGGAAGTCTCGAGCGGGAACTTCGTCTGTGAGTGGATTGCGAGGAAGTCTCAGGCGGGAGCCCCCTCCCTATGGGGCCCGCACTTCACGTTTGAATCCGAGCGGGTCTTCCGCAACGTGCAACTGTCGTCACTTTGGGGCTCTTGAGACTTGAAGATGGAGGAAGTCTCGAGCGGGAGCCTCGTCTGTGAGTGAATTGCGGGGAAGTCTCAGGCGGGAGCCCCCTTCTTATAGGGCCCGCGCTTCATCTTTAAATCCGAGCGGGTCATCCGCAACGTGCAACTGTCGTCACTTTTGGGCTCTCGAGGCCTGAATATGGAGGAAGTATCAGGCGGGAGCCTCGTCTGTGAGTGAATTGCGAGGAAGTCTCAGGCGGGAGCCCCCTCCCTATGGGGCCCGCACTTCATGTTCGAATCCGAGCGGGTCATCCGCAACGTGCAACTGTCGTCACTTTTGGGCCCTTGAGCCTTGAATATGGAGGAAGTCTCGAGCGGGAGCCTCGTCTGTGAGTGAATTGTGAGGAAGTCTCAGGCGGGAACCCCAGGAGGAAGAGGAAAGGGCAAAGGGTAAGCTAAACATATTCTCATGTGGGGTCCTACCGTCGGAGTAATTTGAAAGAGATGGTGGGGGCGGGCCCGCATGTATGGAGTCGGCATGGTTCCGGGTCGTCCGCCGGCCAGGTGGGACAGGGGGGTGTATATTCATGAGGAACAGTGATGAACCCTTCCCCCGAGCAGGGGAAGGAGGGGTTCGTGGCGGAGGAACGAGAGACACCCGTTGGACCACTCAGCCCAGCGTGTCGGTTGGATTCCCAGGGAGACAGGCGGTGAGCAGGCCCCTACCCGCTCCTTCAGTCTCCTCCTCGTCGTGCCTCCTTGTGCCCCCTCCCTCCGCCCCCTCTCCTCCGTCCCGGCGGCCGTCCGCCTCCTCACGTCGAAGGTGATCATGGGGCTCTGCGTGCACGAAAAAAACACACACTGTGTTTTTTTTGGTGGTTTGTTTCCGTGTTTTTTTTTGTTGTTTGTGTGTGTGCGTGCGTGTGTTTGTTGTGTGTGTGTGTGTTGTGTATGTGTGTTGTGTGTGTGCGTGTGTGTGTGTGTTGTGTGTGTGTGTGTGTGCGTGTGTGTGCGTGTGTGTGCGTGTGTGTGTTTTTTTGTGTGTTTTTGTGTTTGTTTTTCCACAGGAGCCGGCGGTGCTGAACGTGGCACCATCGACACCTCCCTGCGGCTTGGCCGCCCAGAGTGCAAAGAGAGCCAGCGCCTCGCTCGCGAGACATCCTCGCCATCTGGCCCCGACAGCACCGGGGCCCCGTCCACCGAGCAGGCAAGACGCGGGAGGCATCCCCGCAATCTGGGCGCTCACGGGCTCGTGCGTGGCATCGCTCGGGCGTGTGCCTTTTTCCTCGGCGAGAACCATCGAGGACCATCCTGGACCATCGAGCAAAAAACACACACGCACGAAGCCGAAACATGCAGGGGAAATGGACGTCCGAGCGACGGCAAGCGTGTGAAATACCCCCCCTTGGCGGCTCCCCAGTGGGGCGCTGAAGCCAGCGCCTCGCCGGAGACTGTCTGACAAGCTGATTGGGAAGCACCAGAGCCCAATGCGCCAAGCCAGCAAGCCGCCCGAGACATCCCCACAATCTGGGCGCGAACGGGCCCTTGTGAAATACCCCTTGGCGGCTCCCACATTGGGGTGCTGAGACCAGCGCCTCGCTTGAGACATCATTTTTTGTTCCAGCAAAGAATACATAAAAACATACGCTGGAGTCACCGAAGTCCAAGCCACCGGAGACAAACCGCTTGAGACATCCTCACTATCTGGCCGCGAACGAGAGACTTGTCAATTTTGAATTTTGTTAGTCTGTCCTCCTCCTCCTGTTTCCGCCGATACGTTTTACGGGTGAATTCGTATCGCTATAACCGCCCAAGTTTACGCCCCATTGACTTGCTCCGATCCTGTCCGGGTCTGGGGCCCTTGCCGATGTTGCGGCCATGGCTTAGTTCCCGGACTCGTCGGCCACATTCCTCTTCCTCCCCCTGGGGCAGAACACGTGCACAAGATGACATAGCGCATGGAGTTCTCCGTATCTGTCTCCCCTTTCTCTGCTTCCTTTCGTTTTCTGCTTCGCAGTCGTGATGTGTTCTTTTCCTCACAGTCGAATCCCCGTGCGCATGCGATTGCTCTGCCAGGTATCCCTTTGCATGTTCACGAAGAGTGGTGAATTGTGCACTCTTCTGCCCATACTTCCTTCCGCATTCTTGACTCAGCGGCGGCCCCCTCGACTGCTCGCCCAGGCAATGCGAACGGGACCGTGAAGGAGGAGGAGGAGGAGGAGAAGGGGGAGGAGGAGGAGGAGGAGGAGGAGGAGGAGGAGGAGGAGGAGGAGGAGGACCAGGAGGGGGAGGAGCCGGGGACGCCGTGCCCCGTAGGATGAGGAGAATGAGGGGGAGGCGGAGGAGGAGGAGGAGGAGGTGGTGTCCCCTCCCCTCTGGGTGTTGAAGCCAGCGCCTCGCTTGAGACATCCTCACGGCGCCACCAGGCAGGCAGACCGCCCGAGGCATTCCCACACGCTGTCAGCGAACAGGCCCGTGGGTTACCCCTTGGCGGTTTCCGATTCGTCAGGGGTGGGCAGAGCCCCCACCCTGGCACGTCGATCAGTGATTTGTCCGTCTTCGGTTCTCGAGAGGGCGCCGCGGTCGTCATTTTCCAGGCTTGCGCCCCGCCAGGTTCGGGCCCGAGGTCGCTTTCACTAAGCCACATTTTACTAAAGGGCGTTCTGTCCCATCCCCGAGCGTCTCGTTCGAGACATCCTCACAAGCTGGCGTTTGAGGCGAGCCTGAGTGTGAGCGGTCTGGTCCGAGTGCGAGAAGTAAGTCCGAGTTTGCGCATACATCTGAATCTGAGCGTGCCTGCCTGAGTACGGGTGCGCCTGTGTATGAGTAAGCCTGCGTGCTGCGCCTGAGTACGAGTTCTTGGAGGTAACCGGTTAAAGAAGTGAGTGCTGCCAATTACCGCCCCCCAGCCTGGATGCCACAAAGGGCCCACAAGCTCAGTACATTCAGTGGCTTTTGCCTTCTCGCCAAGGCCAAAGGAGACCCTCTGACGTCTAAGTCTGCTTCAGTGCGACGACGACGACGCCGACGACGCCGACGACGACAACGACAACGACGACAACGACGACGACGACGACGACGACGACGACGACGACGACGACGACGACGACGGCGACGGCGACGGCGACGGCGACGGCGACGGCGACGGCGCTCGCACGCGCGGCGCGGGCGCCGGGCCAGAGGCGCGGCGGACGGCGCTGGAGGCCGCGCGACGGCGCGAGGCTGCCGCCCAGGTTCGGCGACGGGACTGGTGACGGCCCCGGCGCGCTGGCGTGCGCCTTAACCGCCGCCCGCCGCCCCATCGGGGGCAACGCCTCCTCTCAGGGGGGGGAAACAAGGCAACCCAGACCTCCTCGTGCCGTGGAAAAGTCACGGCGAGAATGTTTTCGCCGTTTTCGGTCTCTGGGGGCCCTCGCCGGGCCTCGGACCTGCCAAAAAACGAGTCAGGACGAAAAACCGGTCCCCTGGAAGGGGTCCAGGCTCCTCGGGGCCACGTCACGAAAAAAATCACGACGTCGGGGGTCTGGGGAAGGTACCATCCCTCTACCCTTCTCTCCTTCTCCATTGTTTGGGCCTCCTGGACGGCCCTCGTCGCCCCCGCTGGATTCGCCTCGAGCTTCTGGTCCGAACGCACCTCGGGAGAGGTCTGTGGAGCAGCGGCATCGGTACCTTTTGATCTCCCCATCCTCGCCGTCGCCGTCCTCCGCGCCGTCGCCGTCCTACTTCTCCTCCTCCTCCTCCTCCTCCTCCTCCTCCTCCTCCTCCTCCTCCTCCTTCTCCTGGCATCGCTCGGACGTGTGCGTTTTCTCTCGGCGAGAACTGTGTTTTCTGAGCTCAGCTTGCCACTCAGGCCCCAAACGGCCTTATCCTCTGGTCATCCTGTCCTCCTTCTTCTGTCCTCCTCCTCCTCTTCCTCCTCCTCCTCCTCCTCCTCCTCCTTGTTCTATCCTCCTCCTCCTCCTCCTTCTCCTTCTCCTCCTCCTCCTCCTTCTCTTCCTCATCCGCCCCGCCCAGGAACTTTGGGTCTCCCTGGCGGGGGGGGCTCATCTCCGATCTGTCGGCGACGTGTCGCCCCGATTCCAGGTCGATGCTGCCCCTCTGAGCCGGCCCATCCCTGTCGGTCACCTTTCAGGCCCCCAGAGACCAGGACACAGATAAATAAGGAAAAGGAAAACCAAGGAAACGACATCCTTTCCTGCAAAGTCACGTTTTTCAGCGCCCGTGCACGTTTTGTTTTTTGCTGCACTGCATGATTCGGGTGTGTGTCCGGGCTTAGGGGTGTCTTGCAGGCTTTTGGGGCCTGTGACCGGGTTTATTCTGGGAGTGTTGCGGTGCAGCATTTTGTTCGTGTCGCCGTTTGGAAAGATTGGTTTCGAGGGATGTTGGGTGTCTGGGTCTAGCGTGTCCGGGTCTACGGGGCCCTGGACCTTCATGCTTTGGCCTCCTCGCGTCGTTGGGAACATCGCAGCGGAAGGTTGTTCGAGGAATTCTAGACGCTTCGCGTATCCCCACCAGATTTCCCGTTCGCGGGTGGCTCGCAGCTTAATGAGGGGCATTTTGCCTCTTGCAGGTGCACCTGTTACGTTGGCCCAGGCGCCTTCGTAACCAATTATCTCGCCCTGTGCCCCAGACGCGCCCGCCCCGCTTCTTGGACTCTTCCTTGGAGCCGCCAATCCCGCCAATCAAAAAAAAATATCCCCACCAGAGCTTCCGCTCTTAGACCGTCGCCTAGGAGCCGCCGACCAAAAAAACGTATCCCCACCAGCTGCCGCAGCCTGGCTCAAGCCGTCTCGGCTCGAGCCCGCCCCTGGTCCAGGTTCGCGCCGGGCCCGCCCCGTCGCGATGGCTTCCGGCGGCGGCGGTCCTCGGGCGCCGCCCTGCGGCGGCGGCAGCGCTTGGCCGCCGCCGCCCAAGGCGGGCCGCCGGGTCTTCCGCCTGCCGCTGCTGCGGCTGCTGCCGCCGCCGCCGCCGCCGCCTCCCCCTTGGAGGCCGGCGCGCGGGAGGCGGCGGCGGCGACTGGCGGCGGCGGCGGCCGGCCCAGCTCGGCTCCCGCTGGCGCCTGGCCGCCGCCGCCCTGGCTGGCGGCGGTTGCCGCTGCCGCTGCCGCTGCCACTGCTGCTGCCGGCCGCCCCGCCGGCGGCGGCGGCGGCGGCGGATGGCGCGGTGGTTGGCGCCGCCGCGGCTGCCCCCGCGGCCGCCGGCGGCGTGGTCTGCCGCCGCCCTGCCGCCGTGGATGGCGCCGCTGGGGCCTGCGCCGCGGGCTCGGCGGCCGCCGCCGCTTCCGCCGTGGCGCAGGCGGCCAGCGCGGCGGCCGCGGGCCAAGCGGCCGGCGCCGCGGCCGCCGTGGCCCGCGCGGCCGCCCTGGGGCCCGCCGCGGCTGACGCCGCCGCGGCCGCGCAGCAACAGCAGCCGCAACAGCAGCAACAGCAGCAGCCGCAACAGCAGGGCAGCAGCAGCAGCAGCAGCAGCAGCAGCAGCAGCAACAGCCGCCGCAGCAGCAGCGGCAGCATAAACCAGCAGCAACAGCAGCAGCAGCTGCAGGTTCAGGAGCGGCAGCAGCAGCTGCAGCAGCAACAGCAGCAGCCGCAGCAGCAGCAGCAACAACAGAAGCACCTGCAGCCGCAGCCGCAGCAACAGCAACAGCGGCAGCAGCAGCAGCTGCCACTGCAGCTGGACAGCAACAGCAGCAGCAGCAGCGGCAACATAACCCAACAGCTGCAGCAGCAGCAGCAGCAGCCGCCGCAGGCACCCTGCGGAACAGACGCCGCAGCAGGGCAGCAGCCGCAGCAGGTACAGCAGCAACAGCAGCAGCAGCATCACCACGCAGCTGCAGCAGCAGCAGCACTCCCCTCAGCGGCAACAGCAACCGCAGCAGCACCCGCAACCACAGCCGCACCGGCAGCAACAGGTGCTGCAGCAGCAGCAACAGCAGCCCCAACAGCAGCAGGCCCAGCCTGGGGGCGAGAGACCCGCGAGACCTCAAAGCACCCTCTCTGACGGTCAGAAGGAGGCACCCCTGCTCCCTGACGGCCTTCCGGGCACCTCTGGAAGCCTGCAGAACCCACGAGAAGACACAGAGGTACCCTTGCTCCTTCGGCAGCAGCAGCATGGCAGGGAAAAGGAAAGGGAGGCCGCGGCGGAATGGGCGGAAGCTGCGGAGGCCGCGGAGCATCGGGGGCCCGAAGCGGTGGAGGCCTTTGAAGGTGCGGAAGAGGCACAAGCCGTCACCCGCGCCCCTGGAGTAGAACCGGGTGGACAGGGGTTGGCCCCCGAAAGAGCGGACGGCAGCCGCAGCAGTCCGCTAGGCGAGATCCTGGACCAGCAGGGGCTCGCCTGCCACATCGCGCCCCCCCCCCCCCCCCCCCCCCCCCCCACGCACACCCGCAAAACAAGCAGACCGCCAGCAGTCCTCTGGGAACGCCGCAGACCCAACAGGGGGGCCAAGGACCAGCCGTTCGGACGCAGGACAGCGAAGCCATCCGCTGGCTCGTCGGGAGAAACCCCTTCGCGCTTATTCGCCCCCCCCCCCCCCTCCCCCCCCCTGCCAGTGAACCCGCTCTAACGGGCGGCGAACCTCAAGCGCTCCCCCCAGACGTCCAGGGCGCGATTGACACAGAATTGTGTGCTCTGGCAACGGAAACGGCGTCGCCGCACGTGCGTGCTCCGGGCGCAACCAGCGGCGCCCCCATGACTGGCGAGAGCCCCGCGCTGACCGAAGGGGGCGCGCCCAGGAGCGACGGCGGGCGCAGGCCCGAAGGCGAGCGCCAGGGGGCCCCTCCCCGCGCGCCACAGCGCCCGCCCGGGCTGCGGGATGCGATCCGGCCCCTGCCTGGCGGCCAACAATGCGGCCCGCGTCTCCCCGCAGAGCCCCGCCAGGCGCGCAGCCGGAAGTGTCGCGAGCAGATTGCGAGCCCTCCGGCCGGGACAGCGAGGCCGGTTCGCCGAAGACTTGCGGCCAGAACACGCGGCAGCGCTAATGGCCAGATCCGAGCCAATGGCCAGAGCCATCGGACCCCGACAAGGGACAGCAGTTGTACAAAGCAAAGATCGACAACATCCAGTGGGACATTCCCTGGGAGACACCCTGCGAGGCGATGGGGCGGCCCCGAGTCACCCTGGGGGGAATATTCGCAGGCGCCCGGAACGCTTTCGCCAAGCAGCAGACCGTGCCTGGCAGCAAAGGCGCGTTCGGCCCGCTTCGGCACGACCCGCAAACCTGCCTTCGCTTCCTGGACTCCTTCCGCAGCCACAAGTGCGACGCACGGGGCGTCAGCGACGCGCTGGGCCTCGGTATATCTTCTGGACTCGGCCGCGGCATCGGGGCCCGGGTCGAAGCGGCAGGGCGAGCAGGGATCACCACGAGGCAAAGGACCGCCCGGACACCCAGGCACCCAGGAAGGGCAAAAAGCAGTGGCGGGTCGTCTCCCCACAGTTGCGGTTGCTGCCCCACCTCGTGGCACCGCATTGGTTTCTGACCAGGGCCCGCCCCCCCCCCCCCCCCCCCCCCCGGCGGGGAGGGACCCGCGGGGCTCAAGGTACCCTGCGTCCCGGTGATGGCGGCCAAAGGCCGTCCGCCGCCTCCCCCCCCGTGCACGCTCCGTCCTCGCTCTGCCCAGAGCGGCGGCTTCCCGCGACCCTGGTCTCACGCGGGGTGCAGCTGGGATCACGGGCTCGGGACATCCCGCGGCTACTCCAGGGGCCCTGCATCCCGTTGCTGTCCTCTCTGGGGTGTCTGCCGCACGGGCTTGTGTCCGCCTGCGGGGGCTCTGGGTGCTCTTGCCTCCCGGTGCTGTCTGGCCAGGGCCGTCTGCCGCCCCCCTTCCGAGGATGCGTCGTCTGCGCCCGACCCAGAGAGGCGGTTCCCCGCCCCTGGATCCACGCGTGGAGCAGCTGAGAATACGGGCTCTGGAGGAATTGGAAAAATTGACCATCGCGGCGGTCAGCTGCGGCCCCGGAGGTACCACAACACCCGACCAATTCGAGCACAATCATTACCATTGCTCTTGAGCGGCGGTTTACTCACTCCACCCAGGACTCGCCACCCCCCGCCCACCCCCCGTGCACGCTCGGCGCTTGCCGCGTCTCTGGGTCCATGCGGGGAGCTGCAGAGGCTCGAGCGCGAGACATCCCGCGGGTGCTCAAGGTACTCCACGCGGGGAGTAGCAGAGATTTCGGGCACGAGGCATCCCACGGGGGCACATGGCACACTTGCATCCCGGTGCTGTCCGACAAGGGCCGTCGCGAGGTCCGAGGT